TTTTTTGTTTGTTTTTGAATTTTGCGGAAAGCTACACGAGGGCTATCTGCGCTAGCCGTCCCTAATTTAGCAGTGTAAGACTAGAGGGAAGGCAGCTAGTCATCACCACCCACCGCCAACTCTTGTGCTACTCTTTTATCAACGAATAGTGGGATTGACCGTCACATCATAACGCCCCCACGGCTGAAAGGGCGAGCATGTTTGGTAGGACGGGGATTCGAACCCGCGACCCGCAGATTGCGAGTTTTGTTTTTTAACATAATCGATAGTATCGGGAAATTAAAAACAAGAAGGCAAGATAATTTTTATAATTTTTTAATAAGTATCAGAATAACAAATCTGCAAAACTGAAAAAAAACGAATGATGAAGTATATGTTCGCTATTTTAAATTTGGTTTGATAAGTATGCTAAAAATTTGAAAAAAAATATTTATACAATTTAAAATTTCAAATTTAAAAAGTGAAAATAAAGGTGTGACACATGATTGAAAATATAGGTATAGAAGAGTTTAAGAATACAATCGTGAAGTGTTTATAAAAGTTTACAGATTTCGAACTTTGGGGTTGTGATGTTTTCAAGTGTGGATAATATTTGTAATTTGTGGGTGAGAAGGAAATATATGAGGAAAAAAAATTAAAAATCAATTGTATATTCATAACGCATTTTACGAAACCGGTAATAACGTAACTGGTTATTGTGGAAACTTAGTTTATTTAACCTGCCCTTTACATTAATGTAAGAATGTAACAGCAGTATTTCGGTTTATAAAATTACTGTTGTTTCTTGTATTTCCATACACGTGAAAAACTGCCCATCCAAAATAAACATGTATTGTAAATAGAAAAAAAATACAATTTCTTCCGAATACACACAAAAAAAAAAGAGTTAAAAAGTTATCTTGATGTTCGTAGTCTTTATAATTATTAGCGCATTTAATGTACATCGTATTTAATGAAATATAAAGCTCCCGTGAAACGATGTTCATGTTTTCAACAGTGAAGGCCAAGTAAAGAAAAATACATGTTCTACGTCCCCGCCCCGCTTCCTTTTTTTTAGCTACCTTCCCCCACTTTTTTCTTTTTGTGTGATTTTTTTTGAGTTATCGTTTTCCAATCATACAAAGAAACATAGAAGACTTCTGAATAAAAAATGAGATGAACACAGTTGATTCATTTTGCCCCTTTTCTTTATTTGTCATAAATTCTGTATCGTTTTGAGGAAAAAAGATGGACTCTTTGTAGACAAGCAACAATCATGAAAAAAGGGTGCAAACTTTCTTTCAAAGAGGGCATTTAAAAATAAAAGCAAAAAAAGGACGTCCTCCTTCCTTTTTCTGAAAACTCCGGACGTTAAACATGTTTTTTTTTTGTTTTTTTACTCGGCCTTATTTTCCGACTCTTATAACGTATGTGTGTTTTTAAAAAAAAAGAAACGTTTGTCGGCTAGAAATTATGAAAGCAGGTGAAGTATATATTTTATTTATTCTGTTTTTTAATTCAGAAAGTGGGTTAATTTTTGATTCTCGACACTCGTTTCTTTGGGATAGACAGTTTTCACAGTGTCGAAATTCAGAAAGAAACGACAATTTTGCAGACCTAAGGGACTAATATCATTTATTCAGCATCTAACGTAAGAATATATATTGAGGTTTTATTTTATTTTTGTAAAATATATGTCACTGACTGCTGCCGTTTCACAAACTTAAAAGAACAGCATATTCAGAATCGGTAGATTCCATGCAACATCTGAGGTAGGAAAATATTCAGGTTTTATATTGGTAAAACACGTGTCGTTGACTTTAGAATTCAACCGTCACACAATGAAAACAAAATTAATAGGTGGTTAACAAAACGGGGAATAAGTGGGATCTGAGAAACTAAAACATGGTTCATTTTGATACACTTTATGCCACCCCCATCCCCTAGTGGTACAGCGGCATGTCTGCGGACTTACAACGCTAGAAACCGGGTTTCGATACCCGTGGTGGGCAGAGCACAGATAGCCCTTTGTGTAGCTTTGTGCTTAAATACAAACAAACAAATACACTTTATGCTATCTTGAACTATAACATGCTTTAAATTTCACAGGCCTGCGATAGTTTTATTGTCTTGAAATTTTTACATGTTCTACAGTAATTCGTGTACGCTGAATCCGAAAATGATATCCATTTTTCTCCATCACGTCCATATTTTTCAAAAACGTCATATGTACTTTAATATAAGTGAATAATTTTCATTGAAATCGGGTCACGTTTTATTATGCTTAAAATGTTGACAACCACTGGCTATAGATTACTCTAGACCAATCGCGACGTGAGAGTCTTATCGATTGTTCTAGAACCCACGAGAAACACATATAATTTCAAATATATTCATTGTTGTAAACGAAATAATAATTTGATCTAAGTAACAGTTGTTTTTTTTCTTCCCGATTTGTTAAAAAATCCTTACGTTATAGAAAAAAAAAAGAATATTATTTTCGAAATATGTGTAGCTGAATTATGGAAAATCTTTAATTAGAACCATAACAACTTTTATGAAGTTTAAATTCGCAGGCCTGTGTCGTCTGCTCAAATACTCTAGTAGAGAAAATTAAAATAACTAAAATTTGTACCTGTTTGTCTAGCCATCTGTGAAACTGTGTAAAAAGTTCTATTTTTCCATTTGTTTATGCTGAGAGTAATGAAATGTTTTATATCATAATTTCTTATCGTTACTGTAAATGTTGTGTTGTGATAAACATATATTTCACATGAACTAACACTAATAGTAACTAGCCTGTTTCGACTGTTCAATAAGACGTTCAGAAAAAACACACACAAAAACAGAATAATATTGACTATTGTATTAGTTTAGGGTGTGCCTGACACAGGTTTTGCCAGGAATCGCTCAAAAGGCAAGACTATTAACAACAGATCCAAGTCCTACTTGATTTTACTAAAAGGGTGGCGATTTCTCGTACCTGGTTCTGTGAAGGTGACTTTTCTAAACACGAGGGGACTACCTAATTTTATTCATATATTTACTCAGGATTGAACGGGGGAATGAGAACCCCCACTTCCTGGAGGTCTTCAGATACCCCCGACGACCAGTCTCTTTCCATGTCGCCCACGAGCTGTACCACACCCTCGGACCCAGACGTTGACCTCTCCTACACTATCGGTGTTACGGAAAATACGCCTCACGCATGTCAGTTCTGCGAGAAAGCCTTCCCTCGCCTCAGCTATCTCAAGAGGCATGAGCAAGTAAGACAATTAATGAAGTACTAAGATAAAATAATGATTTATTTTACGTCACATGTCAACCATTATATTACTCATTTATTATTCTCTGTAGAATGTTACTTCCAAATGATAACTTAGATTTCAAAGAGGCCAATTTGATGATGCATTTCTTAAACTTCAATTATTCTGAAAGCTTTTGAAGAGGAAAAATATGTGAAAAGAATTAAAATTGCATGGTTTTTTTTATCAACATGAAAGTTTTTCTATTTTTATTCATATTCATATGTATTCATTTTTTTTTATATGGACTGAAGTGTTTGCAGGGCTTCACATTTTAAGAGAATTTTTACTACATCCAATATGATATTATACTTGGTGTTCTACTACATCCAGTTAAACATTTTGCACGTGGTGAGTGGATGTTTTGTTATATCCTACCTGACGTCCTAAGCTTACCGTTGGAATGTCTTACAACACCGACTGGACATCATAAGCTATTAACTAGGTAATCTACTACATCCAATTAAACATCACGTATTTGGAGACTGTATGAGTGTTCCATTACATCCTACTTAGCATCTTATACTTGCTGAGAATGTGTTCCATTACACCCAACATGACATCACAAGTTTTGTGAAGTGATTTATGGCATCCAACTGGACTTCGCACATTGATGGAAGGTGTTCTGTTTCAACACATTGGGAGACAGGATGTTTGTGAAAACCAATGGGACAGTTTATAACCAAGCATCATATACATATATTTCGAAGAATTAGTAGGAAATTGATGTTTCCATATCTGATTCACTTCAACATGGATGTGCAAGATTATTTTTATTTAATGAAGCAGCACAAATGAGCAACGACTTGGTGAGAGGTACACAAACGTTCAACTATATTATGTAGTTATGGGAAGTCAAAAAAAAAACCGATTATTTTAACTCTCGGGATTATGGATTGTTATTTCTATTGTGCACAGATTTAACTCAAAATGATTACAGTAAACTTGTTATCAGTTTGATAAAATTTCGATATTGAATTAAAAGGCTGATAATTATTATCTACATTTTTGTGACATTTGAAAAATATTGAACTGAGAACTTTGTACAGAGTAACAGGATGAGACATATTTTAATTAAAATTTTTTTTAAATAACTTTATAAAGTAACAGTATGGAACCAGTACACACATATATATATATATATATATATATATTGAATTTTTCAGATCCACAGTGACCAAATGCCGTTTAAATGTGACTACTGCCAGCGACTGTTCAAGCATAAGCGTAGCCGAGATCGGCACATCAAGCTCCACACAGGGGACAAAAAATACCGCTGTCCGCATTGCGAATCTGCATTCTCACGAAGTGACCACCTCAAGATTCATATGAAGACACACGATCATGCAAAACCTTTTCAGTGTACTGTTTGTAATCGAGGTTACAACACTGCGGCAGCGCTGACTTCACACGTGCAGAACCACAACAAGAAACAAGCTGTTTACACTTCCTCTATTGCTCATGCTCGGTCGCAGTCATTTCGGTGTCTCCAGTGTTCGACGTATTTCCTCAACGCCAAAGACCTCCAGGTAACAAAGATGGCTTTGTTTTACGATAAAATATTGAAAGGGAAAAACGTTAATACAAAAAAAGTGAACCCATGCCATTAAAGTTGTATATAATACTAGATTTGTAAAGTGATTTCATTTTAACATTTATCTTGCATGGCGATAACACATCGTCGTTTTGCTCAATAATTTCCACTTTACTCTGCTTGTTTGTTTTCCAGAGTACACATGGCACGCCGATTATAGCCACTGTATTTGCCACTAGATGTCATTAACATATGAAAAGGTCATTAATTAAGAACTGCTATAACTTATACTTGTGGCCCGGCATGGCCAGATGGTTAGGGTGCTCGACTCGCAATCTGTGGGTCGCGGGTTTCGAATCCTTGTCACACCAAACATGCTCGCCCTTTCAGCCGTGGGGGCGTTATAATGTGACGGTCAATCCCACTATTCGTTGGTAAAAGAGTAGCCCATAACAAACAAACAAATTTATACTTGTTTTTCTTTTGTTTGTTTGTATGTTTGTAGTTAAGCACAAAGCTACACAATGGGCTATCTGTGCTCTGCCCACCACGGGTATCGAAACCCTTATTCTAGCGTTGTAAGTCCGCAGACATACCTCTGTGCCACTGGGGGCGTTTTTCTTCTGTAGCTGCCACACTCGTCCATTCGTACACATCGATTTTCTTAATATAGTTCAATAACTGTTCGTAAACGACTTTAATACAAAATCTAAATTAGGTAACAAAATATTTTTGAAACAGCTAGGGTTATATCCGACCAATTAAATAATTTATTTGGCACAGATCTTAATTAACTAGCTTGTCCCCCTGGTGTTTATCTTGTTAATTACAGCTAAATCACATTGAGTTGACAGTACTATAGTGTTAAAATTCGTTATTTCTCCACCTTGAACATTAATAAAAGAAAATTCTAGTGTCTCGTCTCGTTTATTCCTCGAAATTTGGAATTGTTCAATGAAAGTAATGTATGCCATTTATTATGGTACGATAGCTTGTCAATAGGGGTACTACTGGTTTTACAGATATTTATTATGGTACAATAGCTTGTCAATAGGGGACACTACTGGTTTTACAGATATTTATTGTGGTACGATAGCTTGTCAATAGGGGCACTACTGGTTTTACAGATATTTATTATGGTACGATAGCTGGTCAATAGGAGCACTACTGGTCTTACAGATATTTATTATGGTACGATAGCTTGTCAATAGGGGCACTACTGGTTTTACAGATGTCTATAGACAAAACCATACAACCTACAGGTTCCAAAACTGGAGTTAATACTTAGGGGGGGGGGCACAGTAAAGTGTAGAAGGGGAGTAGCAAATACAAAAATTACACAATACTGTTAAAGTACTCATTACCTATAGATTCATTAGGTAGGGCCTAAGTCAGGATGCTGAATAGTATGGGAAGTGGGGGAAGGGACATGTACTGAGAAATTTTGGGAACCCATGTCCATATATGGTTACTTGTTAAGAGTGTTTTCTTTTCTTTTAATACTTAAAATGATGTTATTCTAGTATAGGTAACCATTGATTTCATTTCCATCAGATACATAGTTTAAACAACAACAACAATATTTACACAAAATTCTTGATAGTTTTTCATTTAAGTATATGGATTTAATCTTACCTCTCATGTTTCGGAGTTGACATAAATATATATATACACTTTAGGATCCCTGCATCTATCCACCGATTCGTCAGAAACTTGTGGAAGTTCTATATTACAAATGTTGATTAATATATCCCCACGAGGAGCGCTAGCGACATATAATCAATAACTGAATTGGTTTCCATGTGTCTTGCCTCTTTCATAGATATCGTTTGAGATTTACTAGTGTAAAACAAATGGTCATAAGGATTAGATTTAAAGAAGCCTACCTTGTTAAATGTTTTTTGTTTTAGAACAAAATCAGCTGTGTCCACCGCGGGAAATCGAACCCCGGATTTTAGCGTCCGTTAATTTACTGCTATCCCACCAGGGGATCTGTTAATATGAAGGCAATAAACAAACAGTATATATATTCTATGCTATTTTTTAGAAAAAGTCTTCGAGATGATGAACATAATTAAACCTTTATTAAATTTCTTATATTAATATTTCAAATCTGCCTCTTCAGAGGTTGTTATCAAACAGAAATACATAGTACTTTTTACATATGAAATACACTTGACTGGTTACTCCAAACTGTTGTTCCATGTAGTATTTAACGGTCTAAAATAAACAGGCCGTTACAGTCAGGATTCAACAACAACAAAACAAAATGGCACTTTATTCAACTCTAACAACACTTAGAAATAAGTTCAACACTTACCAAAACACAGTATATCATAAATATCAATATTATTTCAAATAATGGAATCGGGAAAAAATTAATTCTAAAAAATACAGTAACACAAAAATACCTTTCGATATTAATAACAATATCGAGTGATAAACAGCAATAATTCACTAACTATCTCGTGCCTCTCTCTCTCTCTTAGTGTAGCTTATACTAGGGTATTTATTCAATGAGTAGGTCACGAGAGTACACCTCATGTAATCATAAATTTACATAATCTGCTGCTACATTAATAGTATCTGAACGTCACCGTAACCACGGGTATTTTGAGTCGTTTAGGTGTAGTATTTCATCATAAAGCGTTTTTATTCGCTTGTTTGCACCTATACATGTATCGTTATACATTAAGAAGAAATAGATACTGAGATGAATCTGTCAATTAACTCAAAAACTAATAACTTCAAGAAAATCATTATATTATAATAGATATTTACATTTTAACATCTGGTTCATTTGTTTATAGTCAAACACAAAGTTACACAATGGGCTGTTTGCTGTGCCCACCACGGTATCAAAACCCGGTATTTAACGTTATAAACCTTGAAACTTTTGTCTGAGCCACCGGGTAGCAGCTAGTTTGAAATCCTATGTTAAACTGTATAGCACGAGCACACCTATACATAGCAGTGAATAGAAAAGCTACGTTGAGGTTAAAAAAAAAGTAATGCACTTATTAGCTGTAGCATTCTCTTTCACTGGAATTCGGGGGCGGGTTAGTAAAGCTTTCGATTTCAGAGCTGGCGGGGCATCTGTGTGATACCACGAAATGTTCTCCACACTTTATGTTGTGGATGCATTATATGAGTGATAGTCAATCCCTTAGTGTGGATGGTCGGTAGTAAGATGTGTTGATTGGCTGTTTTTCTTCTGGTCAGTAGTTCAAAATGAGAGAAGGCACCTGATAATCTTAGAAGCTTTGACATAAATACAAATACGTGTATGCACTTGGGGTCAAGTTGATTATTTTGATATGTAGCTACCACCTGCTCGGAAGCTAGAATGTTAATTTACTCAACCCTTATGGCCTGACAGATCTCTTATACTTGGGGTCTCTTTTTGTTTGAGTTAAACAGTGTAAAATATTTGTTGTGATCGTTAGATGACTCTGATATATGTGTTTGTATTTAAATGTACACTATACTACTGTCATATGTCAATAGATGGCGCCAGTTGTTTATAGTAATTTATTATACTCAAATAAAGTGGCCTTGGCTGTATTGTTCCTGATAAACTAAGACCTCCGGCGAAGCAACCTTGAATGTCATCATTAGTTGAGTTACTAATGGTGGTGGTTGCTCGCGTGCAAACAGAGAACTCACTATTAGAATCAACACTAGATAGTATGACAAATGTTGAATAAAAAATAAAACAAGGAACTGTCACTGAAAAGAGCTATGATATTACACATTTACACACACACACACACACATATACAATTTATTTTATTTACACGAATAACGACATTATTAAATCTTAGTGTGTTAATAATTGGCTAACTATCACGATAAGACAGGTATGATTCCTATTTGCGTGAAAAGAATTATATATGATGGGAAAAAAATGATGCCACATCACCGAAAAGTTAAACTAATCTAACGCAAGAGTACATATTGCACAACATCACTCTTTGGCATGCGTCCAAACTTTATGTGACGTCTCTTGATAGTCTTCTTGGCGTAGAGTTGGCACAATGATAACAACGTGCCAAAAAGTAATGGCAATGGGACGACATTTTTTATGTATTTACTTAAAATGCTATATAGCAACCTACACTGTAGCTATATGGACTTATACCTGAAAAAAGCACTACATCATTAAAACAAGTGTTTCACAATTGGCATTAAGAGTAAAAGGAAGCTAGTAATATGTTACTTGCATCACATTTGTATAATGTCAGCCTGTATCATTAAAAAGATGATGTTTGTAATAAGAATTGGACATTATAATGATGTGATATATTTCCCTTTCAAATTGTGAAATTATCTTTAGAATAAAACACCTCAAAATTTGAGAGTGAAAAAAAATCACTTAAACAACAGTAACATAAAATTAACTCTTTCCAACAAGGAATGCCCCTCAGTGGCACAGCGGTATGTCTGCGGACTTACGACGCTAGAAACCGGATTTCGATACCCGTGGTGGGCAGAGCACAGATAGCCCATTGTGTAGCTTTGTGCTTAACTTCAAACAAACAAACAATCCAACAAGGTCAAAAATGAAAATCACAGTTTAAACTTCATATCATATAAAGAGTTAAAAAAATATACCAAAAGAAGATCCAGTTTCTACGAGATCTTAGTCACAATAATCAGAGTCGTCTTTATTTTCATCAAAAACGTCTGGTCTCTGGCAACCTTTACAATGACAAAGCCTTGTGCAGTTGATTTCGGCCCTTGAGCAAGTGCAATTTGATCTCTCAAACACAAAATTCTTACATGCACACATAGTAACGCTAAGAATGTCCACCAAAGATATTGGCAGAGTGGACAAAAATGGCCTGTAGATTATCATACACCACAGTCTAGCCATGTAGTTCAGATGTGGAGACCAGAAGCTTCTGCTGAAGACATGACTTTATGATAAGAAACTAATAATTTGCTCCCTACAGGTGAAAAACAAGACTATTCTTGTTTTACAGACAACGATGA